CTCCTGTCTTCAGCCTCCTCAATGCTGGGGTTACAGGCATGTGCCACTGTGCCTGGACTTGGTGGCCAGCTCAGCATGCCCAGGGGCAGGGCACGTGCGGCATGTGGTGCTGGGGATTGAACCTCGGTCCCTGCACCTGCGTAAGCAGGCCCTTAGTCCACTGAGCTATCTCGCTGGCCCTTCATTGGTTCTTAATATTAGGCTGCTTCCTATTTTTCCCTCTGTGGGCTTCAGGAGGGAAGAGAATGGGTGTTGCTTCTTCCTAATCTCAGGATGCCTCACTGCAGGGCTTCACCCACTGATGTCCTCCTCCATCCCCTCATGTGGCCCCTGGAGCCACATCAGCTAAGGAGCTTGGGCAAGGTCCTTCCTACTCCTGAGCCTGTTCCCTCTTTTGTAAAACAGAACAAGAACGACTGCCTGCAAGGGTTGCTGTGGGGATAACGTTATGTCCAGCAGTGCTTGGCAGAGAGGAAGAGCTCCATAAACATTGTTTATGATTCAGCCTTTAGCACCACCATTGTTAGCTGCATGGCATCGGGGATTCTGGTCTCTTAGATCACATGTTGGGATTTACATGTGACTCGCTGACTTGAGATCAAAGGTGATTAGAGTTCTACAAAGGAGGAAGTAGGGAAGCCTCACCAAGTTGGGATGACAGCATTTATGTGCATGGCATTTTTATTGACTCTTCAACCAGCCTATCACCAGGGACATTTCTGCCTCTGGCTCCTTCGCTAAGCACTGGGGTTCCATTCGGGATAATGGTCTTAGAAGCTTCTAGCGGCATAACTCTGGAAACTACCTTTGTAGGGGGGCTAAAAGGAGGGGCCACCCAGAAGTCCCAATGCTTAACCAGTTCACATGGGTTAAGTTAAGCAGAAACATGGGTCCAAGTCCTGGACCAGTGCCTCATTGGTTGGGTGGCTTCAGAGAAGTTCCCTCACCTTTCTGAAGCTTGGTTTCATCATCTCTGAAATGGGTTCTACTGTTTGTCACCTAAACTGATGTTGTTTAGCAACCAAAATGGAAACCAAACACGAAGCTCTAACTACTCACACTGAGATTTGAGATTAACTGGGGCAAAGGGCTGGTCAGGTGGAAGAGCCAAGGTCAAGGGGAATTTATGAGACCTCAGGGTTTATGGTTTTGATAGGGCTTTATTAAGCACAATTTAGGACTGAAATAGCCTCTACTGGCCCCACCCCCACAGCCATAGTGACAGGGCATGGACGGGGCCTTCCTTGCGACATCATCGTAAACATTTCCTGGTACTGAGGAGGGAAGGGACAGGAAGGTGGAGTGGCCCCAGGAAGGTGGAGTGGCCTCAGGGTTGGGCAGGCAGGTGATGGTGCTTTTGAGGCCGGAGGGCTTGATGGTTACCTTCTTACTAGAAGAGGGTGAAGGGCTCATTTGTTCTCTCTCAGTTGTATTTGTCCTAGTAACTTATCTAGTATAGTTCCCATTGGCTTATCCAACTGAATCCTGACAACATTGTTTGGGAGAGATATTATTTCCATTTTACAGAGGAGGCTGAGGAGGTGGAGTGACCAACCCTAAATTACATTAATCCCTGAGATGTATGACCTCCCCAACCCCACCAGAGCCACTGTCTTCTCTCTTTGGGAACAGCTGAGTGTGATCCTATCCACTCTTATCCCTGAGTGTCTCCCGAGCCAGACATCCATAGTTCATCCATCACCAAATGTTGCGGTGTTCTGGGACAAGGAGCTGTGCAGGAGAAATAATCTAATCAGCATCATTTGCCAATTGTGGTGTAAATGTTTCCGTGGTGGGCAAAGTCAAGGTCCTGACCTGACATCACTTTCCTGAGAAGGAAAGCTGACGACTAGTTCCCACAAGCCACTTCAGCATATCCCATATCCCAATTAAGTGTGAGGCCAAGACACAAGGCCACCTCCCCACGAGGAAAGGATCAAAGTGGCTACAGACCTGGCTAGAACTTCTCCTCTCTCTCTCTCTCTCTCTCTCTCTCTCTCTCTCTCTCTCTCTCTCTC